ATATCTCCGTAAAATGATAATGATGCTGTTCACAAGAAATATTTACGGGAACAAATAAATTCAATTGAAGTAAAAAAAAAACCATTTAGAAGATAAAATAAGTAATGTGAATAGATGCTCTGGAAACTAAACTTAACAGTGAATTACAAAAAGAACTAACAAATATTAAAAAACAAATACAAAACATAGATGATAGCGAAATCAAAACCTATATTCATCAACAAATACAGAACATTGATGATAGTGTTATTCAACAAAAGATAACCACTATTAATAACCTAGTTTTAAAACAGGACGAAAATATACTCGCATTAGATAAAAAGTTTCTCAAGAAAGAATCATATTATTTTAAACTTCCATTTGGAGTAATGGGAATTCATGATGATCCTTCTATTACTGATAATACTGATAAATCAAAAGACTATGAATTTAAAAAATATGGATTTACAGCATTAGAGTATATTCTGTTCCAAATTATACTATTTACCCCAATAATATTTTTGATTCAGATGATGAAACTTATCAATCAATATTTTTTGATTTCAAAGGAAAACTTATAATTGAAATTAATTTTCCTTTTCAGGTAAAAGTTGATTCAATATTCTTCAGACAAATCTCACGTATGTCTAATAAATTTAACGCTCGCAAAGTTCTTCAGTTTATCAATGGTACAAAAAATGTAGAAACTAAAGAATTAGAAATTAACGATGAAAACAGCAAGCCTCGTCACTTATATGAAATTAAAACAAGTGGAAAATATATAGATAGGTTTAGAATGTTAATCATACCAGATAATGAAGAAGACGAACTTTCATTGAGTAATTTTGATATGTTATTGGAAACTGAAACTCCACCATCAGCAAGTATTATTAGAAATCCAGAACCACAAAAAGAAATAATCAATTATCAGTTTTTACGAGCAACAGACTTTGAATACGTAAAACTATATTTTGTTGATAATGATATATTTACCTCACTCGATATTCATAAAAGTCAACAACAACAAAATTTTTTGATACCAATAAAAAGAGATGATGCATCTGTTGATATGATTTTAAATATTAGTAAACCAAAATTTTCAGTTCATCTGAATAAGGTTAATGATTTGAAAGAACAAATATTCTTAGTAAATATGCGAATTTTTAGTAAAGTAGCTTTATCAGAAATTCATTTAATTTAATTACCTAAAAAATGGAACTCGAAAGTAGACAACAATATATGATAGAAAAACAAAATGAACTAAAAAAAAAACTAAAACAATTCAACAAATGTAGAAAAACATGGAGTAGAACTGATTCTGTTTTCAAAACATTAAGTACAGTTTTAACAGTAGGGATAACGGTGGCAACAGCCGTAACCGGTGGATTAATGCTTCCAATAATTGTCCCAACTGTATTAGCCGCATTCACTGCCGTTCAAACTTCATCTTGTGGATTGATTACTTTAGGTTTTACATCAAAACAGAAAGCTCATTATAAAAGGAAAACAGAAATTTTAAATACATATCTTAATAAATTGTTTATATTTTTCGAAAGATCGAGAGAAGACAAGAACATAACAGTTGAAGAATTAGAAAAATTCAATGAAATTTTAGATAAATTTTATGTAGAAATATCATCAATAAAAGTTAAAAATTCCTAGTTAAAAAATAAATACTTAAAAAATATGAATAAAATTGAAATTTTAGACGATGAAAAATTCATATCAAATGAACTTTTTTACGATGTTATTAAGCTTATCACTAATGAATTTACAACATTTAAAGGGCAAATTGAAATAGAAGGAGAGATAACTCAAGATGGAAAATACATACAAGACATGAAATTTGTAGGTTTTAATACCAAAACTTTTGTCAATTTCTTCACTGCGGTGGATAATAAATCGGATGCTTCTGATTGGTATTTCACAGGAAAAATGATTTTACGTAAAAACAATTTCAAAGAAATAAAAAGATCAAAAAAAGAGTAGTGGTGTTACACTACTCAAAAAGATAAATGAATATAGCGGTATAAATTGTTATATACCAAGCGATGGATACTGCTTTGTAAAGTGCGTTAATTGTGTTTTAAATGAAGACTACACGAGAGATTTTCTTCAAAATCAAACAGAAAAGGAGTTATGACAACTGCTAGAATCTGTGAATTCAATAAGAAATTTAATACTTATTTTCAAATTTATATGCCCTAAAATAGACATTTTCAACCAAAGAAAGTATCCGAAGAATTAGATTGGGTTTTTTATTTACACAAAGAACATTTCTGTTTGATAAGAAGAAATAACAGTTTTGTTATTTCTTAGGCATTAAAGAAATAGAAGATAATTACGATGAAAATGTATGGAGAACTTGTAAAGATGATAATGCGATAACGCAAGTTTCACCTCTAAAACTAAACGTTTTTCCAACCATTCCCGATGATTGTTTATACGCGTGGGATTGCGAAACCTATAACGAAAATAAAGCCATACCTTATTCTTGCACGTTAATTAATTTAGAAAAACTAAGAAAAATGTTAAACAGAATAAATAATCTCTTTCCAGATTTAAAGCCGACAGATCCCATTCCAGAAGGATTTTACAACAAACTCATGACTAATATAGTAGAAATATTTGTAGCTACAGATTGCATCGATCAAATGTTACAACGTTTAGGAAAAATAGATCAAAAAAGAATAACATTAATTGCTCATAACGCTAGCGGTTTTGATAACTGGATCATGATCAAAAACGTAAAAAAAACTAACACAATGCCCTTTAAAAACGTCCAGAGGAATTTTGTCTCTACCTTTAACTAATTCATTCACTGATGAAGATTTACAGAAAAAATGGAAAAGACAGCAAGAAATAAAGGGTAACTCTAATTATTTGCAAAATATTAATTTCATATGTTCCTATCAACACAAATCATCTAGTTTGGCAGCATGGGGTAATTCATCCAATGAATTTGAGAAAGATGGAGGATGTAGACATTGCAAAATACACCTTTGATAATTGGGAATCTTTAAGACACGAATGGGAACCTTACGCTAAAAGAGATACATTACGTCTCGGAGCTTGTTTGATAAATACAATCAAGCAATGAAAGAAGTTGTATTTCAGAATATTTCCAATAATCTAACATCTCCTTCTTTATCTTTAAAGGGTTGGTATTATTTATATCATTACGATAAAGAAATGGTTGAAGAAGAATGGTATGAAAGTACTAGAATGGTTCCGAAACACACCGAAAAAGAAAACGTAGAAAAAGTTTACTCACATACTCACCCTTTTATAAGATATTTTATCAAACAAAGTATTAAAGGAGGAAGAGTTTCGGCAAATCGAAAATCATTTGAAACGAATAAAATGGATGAAATTTGTAATATATTAAAGGAATACAATGCAAGTGACACTGATAATATAATTGATTTATTCAAAGAATATAGCGCTAGCACGAAAGATAAAACAGAGGTTCATTCGAGACTTAAAAAAATAAAATGTACTAAACTAATGGCCTTTGATGCTAACAGTTTGCACGCCATGTCGGATTTAGATAGCGAATATCCGAGAGCAGAAAGTGGTAGACCATTTCTACCGGAAGAAAATAAAGAATTGTTAAGCTCTTTAATGAGCAGAAATTCAGACCTAGAACTGCTATTTTAAAAGTCTGGTTTGAATATCCCAAAAACATGTTCTTCAAGAAATAGTGAAAGCTGGTGGACGAATTATTAAAATATTAGATGGTATAGTTCACTAAGAAAATTTTAAAACTCCACCCTATAGAAATCATATTTTAATTTTGAGAGATCTAAGAAATAAATATCAACGAGAAGGTAATATCGTAGGTAGAATTGCATGAAATTATTAGGCAATTCGTTGTATGGTAAATCTATTCAGAAGGATATAACTACATCGAGACATCTATGGAGTGAAGCGACTTCAAAAGCCAACTATGATTCACACGTCAAAAGCTATGAAAAAGTAAATGATAGTCAATATATAGTTGAGATAAATGAAGAAGAAAAAGAATTTATTCCTCCTAAATCTACACGACTAACACCTAGTCATTTGGGATCATTCGTTTTATCTCACCGTAAAAAAATAATGAATAATTTTCATGTGATAGATGGATTTTATAAACTGGAAATATACTATACGGATACCAATAGTTTATACATTTCGTCTAGCAATTGGGATAAATTAAATGAAGCTGGGTTGGTGTCCGAAAATGATTATTGTAAAGGAAAGAATGATTACGGTGATGGTGGAATTATATTTGGTTTATATTTAGCGCCAAAAGTTAAATACAATATCATTCTAACTTCCGACAGTATTCTAAAAGGAAAGAAAACGTTTAAGGGTTACTCTAAAGATAAGATATCTGTAGAAGATTATATTCGATAAGCTAGTGGACTCGATGTAACGAATGAATTTAAAAAACCTTGGGTAAAAAGTTTCACCAATGGAGTAGTTATTCCAAAGGATGATGATAAACAAAAGAAAGTTTTTAGAAGTTATCTAAATCTCGTTAAGAGAAAAGCACCAAACAGTGAAGGAATCATGTATCCTTACAACGACGGAAAAGAATTGAACATAGATGATTGGGTGTATACTCGTTTATCAAATCCTAATAACGTATTCAATGAATTTTCTACGTTGAAATCAACTTGACTATTATTTCTTAATATCAATTTTATTTTGTTCAGATTCAAATTACCTTCGAATTCAATATTGTTTTAACCATTGACACTTCCTCCATATTCAGATAGGTATTCGTTAATGGCTATGTATTTGTAGCTTCTTGGTAGTAAACGAATGGTTTTGAACGTAACTCCATTATCTGTTGATACTTTTATTTGGTTATTTTTTTGGTTGATATTTCTAATGGAATTGTAAACAGAGAAATACTTTAATCCCAATTCATATTCTTGATTGCGATTGAGTTCGTATTCATAATCTAGAGATAATTTAATGTCTGATTTATTTGAGGTGATGAGGAATAGTTGTTCTTTATTTGACATTTTTAATCACGTTTTTATAATAATTTTTATCTATGATAATTTTCTCTAGGAGTCTTTTTAATATACAATATACTTAATTATATGT